TGCTTCTGCTGAAGTCAACAACGTTCCCCCCCCCCCCGCCCGATTTCCAAAGGAGGACGATCGAACTCTATAATCTTGAAGTAGTCACCTTACAGCAAAGGCCTTCAGCCAAGCGGTCTGAAAATGAATGGAGCAAGGCTTCTAAACCAAGGGCAGCCAGTACACTGGAGAAAGGGATTTTTTTTTGTTCGCATGTCACACATGCCAGTTGCATGTGGGTGGGTGGTGGAGGTGGCATGGAATGGGAATAAAGCTGTCGCAGGAAAGGCTGAATAGCCTTCCTCAGATGGTGCAGAGAAGTCAAAGAAACTACTCAGGATTAGAAAGGGGCAGTGGCATTTCTCCCAGTGGCATATGTTGCAGTTTACGGCTGGGCACTACCCAATCTGAAACACTGGCTGGGATGAGCATGTGTGCTGGCTCCCGCCGCGGGAAAAGGGAGCGCAGGGGCTGCACCACCTCACCCAGCTCACTCACCAGGCAGAGTGGGGCACCCGCCATCAGCAGTAGTGAATAAACTCCTCCAGAAAAACAGATCAGAAGGAAAAGGGTGGGGAAAAAAAAAAAGAGCAAGGGTAGTTTTTGTAATTCTTGGCATCACCATTCAGCATTGGCTCTGTTGTGCAGAAGACAGAAAAAGCAGGGCAAAACCCCCCACATTAACACGTGGAAAGATTGACCTAGACTGCCAGCCCAAAAGCTCTTTACTGATGGGGCTCTATAGGACTGTCCCCATTGACTGTTACACAGATACCAACAAAATAAGTTTATACCTTTTAAAACTGGGCATTTGAGAGGCTAGGGAATTTCCCACTGAGCAACTGGGGTCCTTAAAGCTGAATTTTCTCTTCATCCTTCTAAACCAGGAAAGAATAGAGTGTTATTCTTAAAAGGGAACAGATTTTGGCCAGATACAGAAATCTTTGTTGCTATATTTGGCTTCCAATGTAGGGCTCTCCGCTTGCTGGTGGGAGGAGGAAATTAGAGCTGGTGTTATTCATAACTAAATAGGCATGAAAAACAAACCACCTCCCTTTGAACTTTGGTGCTACTATGGGCATTCACATAACAAATCATTTTCAAAGCCTGTGATACCTCTGTACATGCAACAGCCAACATCAAAACTTTATTACCTACTCATTTTCCCATAGTGACAAACCATTGCAGATGTACAGTTATCGTCAAGGTAAAGATGTTGGTGTAGTTTCTGGCTTTTTTTCTAAAAATACTGTTTCTCAGTTGTCTTAAAAGAAAGTAAAAGTGATATTCTGAAGAAGAGACAATTACTGGAAGGCTGTGGAATCTAACTTCCCCCCGCGTCTCCCAACAGCCCCAAAAAAGAAATCAGCTAAATTAATTGGCATCCTAGCAGGACGCCAGCTCAGCTGTGAGGAATTCTCACCAGATGTCTTGGTCTCCACCCGGCTTGCAACGTCATAAAGGCAGCATAACCCCTTGGAGCCTGAGGTCCAGCAAGGATGATGGCCTGACCCTAGTTGAGGTATGTGGGAAGACTTGAGGTGTGGGGCTGATGGTACCTCTGGTCAGCAGGGTCCTGCCAGCTCCAGTGCGGGGGCACAACTAGCTGGCCCCCTGCCACATTTGCTTCTCTCACCAGCGCGGTGCATGCCAGCCCTGCTCCTCACATGTTCCAAGGCATCCTCCACGTGTTAGGCAAGCTAAAAGCAGACCACAGCTCAGGTCATACGGCTTGCTCTTGGCACAGAGATATGCACCTCCCTCAGGCACCAGACTGGGACCAAGCTTCCAACTGATCAAACCCTAAACTAAATTTATCTGGATGCGACAGATGAGATTCTCAATGGATGGAGGCTCTCTAAAGCTGATTGAGTGATGTCAGTTTACATTAACTGAGCATATGGACTGATATGAATAAAATCAGTCACAATGATTCCTCTTAAGCATCTGGTTCCCCTACCATCATCTCTTGATACAATGAGAGCGCACAGAAATAGTGCCCACAAAGACCTGGAAACCAAGACATGGGGCAAGGCAATTGGAGCTCTGCTCTGGTGAGAGCAGTAGAAGTTTCAGGGAGGAGAAAGAGCAATTCAGCTAGTTCATCCCCTAGATTAATGCACTGTCAAGTCCCAAAATACACTTGCTTCTCTCTGGAGAGTTGTGATAGCCTTAAAGCAAACAGGGCTCCCACATCTCTCATAGACTAAACCACAGTGTAGCAGAGCTCACTTTAAAGGAAGACATTTCCTGCAATGCTAATCCTAAGTTTTTTTTGATGCTTAATTTATACCAAATTTCTGACTAAGTTCCTCACTCTGTTCTGGTATTTTTTGATGGCTGCTATGTCCTCCTCTACTTCTCCCGTGTATCCTATCCTTAAGCCAATCTATCCTTAAACAGTATTTGCTTATTTTTCAGCATCTTCATCCTTCCTGTCAATGAAGACCATTTCTCTCCTGGTAGCTCCCAACCCCGTTCTCCTCCAGGAAGCTTCCGAACCCCGTCAACTACTTTCCTGGTCTTGCTCTTCTTACATTTCTGGCTGGCAGCTCTCTCCACCTCTTCCTCAAGGCATAGGAAAGAACGTTTTTGATCTCAAGCAGAGACAAAGTGTCCTGCTTGCTGTCCAGTCCTGGAAACATGGCCTCGAGTAGGACGTATGGGGAAATTTTTGCTCATCTCCTGATGCTCTTAAATAGAGTACGCTCCATATGGTCAGGATCTTCACATAATTTTGCAACTAAACTCTAACAGCTCCCTGCTGATCGCACGCAAGTGGCAACTTTTCAAAAGCTCAATGCTTGGCCAAAGTTTGGATTTCCTGCCCCCCCGCCCCCCCACCATGGGAACAGCAAATGATGCATCTGCGACCAAAAACATCAAATCTTCAGCCCTCGATCCACCACACAGACATGCAAACATTTCTTAATTAAAGTTATAAAATAAATTTAGCAGAGGCAAAATTGCTTCCTTTGTAGGAAGAAGTAAATTTTTTTTGCCAGAAAATTTCTATTTAAGATACTTATCTTGCATGAAAAATTTCTACCTGATGACTGCATACCGTCAACATTGCAAGAAAAACATAAAATTAAAAAAGGTGTTACAGTAAGAAGTGTAATGCAATGATTCTACTAGGACTGACTGTAAAATACCCTCTGGTATTAAGACAACTTAAGATATTAAAAGAACAATTAAAAGGCATTGCAGAACCAATGGACAGTCTCTGAAATAGAATGCTATTGCCTTCATGAGAAAGCTCTGTTTGAAATTCCTTTTATGCTACATTTTCATTCTGTCCATTTTTAGTGGAGATCCTAAAACACTTGTTTTACAAAATGTTTTTGACAGAAGTCAAATCCTTGGCTCTAAAAATTAACCTCATGAAAAAATAAAAACTCAAGATGCAGTAATTTACAAAGAGATTTATGAGTTCTTCAGTTGCATAAGAATAAAACAAAAGCATTAGCTAACTGTTGAGAAATATAGACCAAACCAAAAATGCTACATAAAAATATAACAATAAAATTCACATTAAATTATTTGTTCAGTATTTAAAGCAGTGACCCTTTTCTTTGTATTATACAAAGTTCCCCATCAGTTTTGATAAGAGGGACAAAAAAGTTCAATGGAGTCTTGAGGGAAGCGGGGTTTGAAAACAAGCGGGAGAGGAGAGGGACCCTGATTTGACTGATGGTTTTAAACAATAGCTACAAACACCTAGCAGAGAAAGTGCAGCATAGTTCTGCAGATACTTTACTACATTACTGTAAACCTCAACTGCTACAAGTATTGGTTGTATATAGGTACTAGCTACCTGAGCCAAAGCTCACTGGAACCGATGCACATTCCAATTTATTTCCACCAATGTTGGATCAGGCCCCAGGCCGTCACTTTGTGCCAGCCAACACTGTGAACTGCAATTTAGGCACTCAAGACTGATCCTGATGATCCCATGTCATAAAAGTCTTCCACGGACACCAAGGGAAGCAGGATTAGGTCTCCTGCATGTAAACCGTCATTGTCAATGACATAAGCCGGTCCGTCTTGAAGACTTGAGCCTCTGAGTGGGTGCATTAGGTAGCTGTGATGTTTTAATCACCCTAACCCCGAAACTATATTAATTGGGAGCTAACGATATTCCGTATTTTGTAGGGAACTCTAGCCAAGCTGCCACTGTCCCCTCATGGTGTCACTCAAGACCACAGAGCAAGAAAAGCAAGAAGGTCACAGAATGACAGACTGGCCGAAGTTGGAAGGCACCTCTGGAGATCATCTAGTCCAACCCCGCTGCTCAAGTAGGGTCACCTAGAGGACGTTGCCCAGGATTGCATCCAGACGGCTTTTGAATATCTCCAGGGAAGGAGACTCCACAACCTCTTCGGGCAAGCTGTTCCAGTGCTCAGTCACCCTCACAGGAAAAAAGTCTTTCCTCATGTTCAGATGGAGCTTCCTGTGTTTCAGTTTGTTCTCAATGCCTCTCAGCTCGTGGGCAGACCAAGGGCAGCTAAGACAGGTTTCCAGGGATGCTTTTAATTCCTCTTAGCAACCAGTTCACCCTGTGAGAGGGGGCACATAAAAACCCACCAACACTGTTTGGTTTTAGTATGTTGTGCAGTGACTGTCCAACCATCTACGCACAATGCTGGAGAAGATAATCTCTGCTCACAGAACTTCCAGCTCAGCCTTTGCAAAAAGACTCCCTGCTAGCTCTCCTTTCATATGGCCAGGATTTTGACCTTGCTCAGACAAGATTGCATTAGTCTTTAAAGGAACTTTTTCCTGCATCACACCCGTCAGATTGGGCCCATAGGGCTAAAAGCATTATTTATTTATTTTTTAAATACCTTCTTGCTTTACATGGGATGTCAGTTCCAAACAACATGCATCAACTTCTTGAAAATCCCCACACAAGCAATTAATATATCATTCAAATACCCTTTAGAATGCTCAGAGGCTGACATATTAAAATCAAGAAGTCAATTTTAAAAATATATATATATATATATATACGTCTAAGTTCTTACAAGAAATACATGTTGCTGGTCCATTAATAAGGAGGAAGAAAAATGTACCTGAAATTAATTGAAAGAATCTCAATCAACAAGATATGCTCGTCTGCTGAAAGGCAATATATTGCACCTCTCTACAAAACTCCACCAACAGCACGGTCATCTTTATGATACAACAAATCGAGGCTTTTGAAAGCCTTTTTTGTACAAGTAAGGAAAAATTCCACTCACTCCTGAGGTTACAGAGAACACAACAAAATGCCTACATGTTTTTAGATAGTCTAATGAGATTTAGTGATGTCATTCAGTTCATTTCCAAAAAAGATGCATTTGAATGCATGAGGGTAGAACAGAGGGAACTACGCATATTTGCATGTGTATATATATATATATATATATATAATATTTATATACATACACATAAGGAATTGCAAGAGGAGAAGAGCAAGATATAAACAATAGACCTAAAGCAGAAAAGTTAGGTACATGCAAGTCAGTTGATCATTAAGTACGGTTGGGGGAAAATGATGCTCCCCTCCTGCAATCTCTGCTCTCTAGAGAAGTGCAAATTGTCTCTGTGAAAGTTGTGAAGAGAGATTTATCCTTGAAAGGATGTTTTCTAGCAGGAGAAGGTAGAAGACTGAAAGAACCTTGCCATTCTTTGAAGACTTGCACACTGTGAAACAGGTATCGGATAAACTGGTAACTGAGCTGAATTTGTGCCTGGTGAGGAAAGGAATCAGAATAAAAGTGCATTTTACTATGGCCAAGAGTAGCTTATTCAGCTGTCCAGAAATCAAATCTGCTGGGTGATCAGTAGCTGTATTATCCCATCAACTTGTCAGGATGGGAATGCCCAGCTGAAATAAAAAGAAGTATCTGCTTTTCAAAAACTGGTCATCAGGTTGAACCCCCTAGATTCTCCACATGAGAAGACACAAAAATTGACACCAGATTTCTCAGCATTAACAGGAATAAAATCAAATCCTGGACAACAACTTTTAAGCGTTTAGTACTAGATTTTCCTAAAATAAAGCAGTAATTTCCTCAGGTCTTCCCAGAAATAGTGACAGAATACACCATGTTTCATAGGTCCTCACAAAATGAATCATCCATTTTCTTGGGGCAACAGTAGAATTCAACACACACAAAGAATGAAGCAACTTCATTAGTAATGCATTAAGATATGTGACTTCTTTGTGACCTGCTTCTAAGGGTTTTTTTTTTTTCTCCCAACTCTGGAAGCAGGAGCAGTCTTAACATTTCTGTTTCATTCTCCCTTCCATCAGTAGGCTGTAACTGCAACGCTGTGAGTGAGTGCTCTCCTCCTCTTTCAAGAACAATACCAACACAGCATCTGCTTCTCATAAGCACATTTGTGTGGCTATGTATAATTGTGTGCGTGTGCACGAGAGAGAGCAAGTAAGCAAGAGAGATCTGCTGTAAATCTGCTGAATTCAATTGAAAAGTTTGTCACAAGAAAGGATTTTTTCCTCTTTCCTGTCCTTCAAATCTTAGGCTATACAAGCAGGGCTACTGCTATGGACTTGAATTTTTATTTTCAGTTCACTTGTTAAGTACAGGGGAATATTAGTTACTAAGGAGGGAGGAAAAAAACAGAACAAAAACGTTTGACTTTCAAAGTCCACTGACTGGTGCATGAATGGGTATAGACAACAGCAGCTTCTCACTGGCACTTGTCTCCCAGAGCCTGTAGGGTTCCTTAAGCATACTCACAAGTTCAGCAGTGAAAACTGGGCACGTAACAGTAGTCCTTGAGACTGAAGAAAGAGGCAATAGATTCACCACATATTCATCCCCTCTACCCACAACCCAGAAAGGGATTCCAGTGCAAACTTTGGGCCTGGCTCTTTCCTGTTCCCTGACTATGCATTAACATCTACAGGCAACAGGAGAAGGTCCTTCGCCATCTGAACTAGCAAAGAGGAAGGCAATGCAGTGAGTGCTCTTGCTAGACACAGGTGAACTATATAGGTAACTCAAACACAGTACAGCTCAAAAAGGAAACACATTTTCTTTTGCTCTCCTCCCTCCCCCAAACTCCTCCTCTCTGAAGTTCAGAGTTCAACTACCACTTTTCTCATGGCTTTTCTTAGGAGGCTTTGACTCTCTTTTGCCTTCCAGCTTTGCCAAATCCAGGAAAAAAAAAAAGTTTGGACTTTTTTTTTCCCAGTATTTCTCATACTGCTAGAAATTCCCGATTTTTATCTATCGCAAGAATGAGTTCTTGAGATATTTCCTGAACTATACTGTCCTGATAAGTAAACAAACTGTGGATGCTTTTACTACCTTCCTCCCACATGGTTTTCCCATTCCTTTACTAATTCATTGACCAACTGAGGAACTAGCTCCATGAGAGCAGCGATAACATATAAGACCGTAGAGAGTGAATTTCATTGACAGGAAGAAATGCTAATGACCTAAAAGATGAAAAAAAAACATTTAATTCCACATTCCAAGACGGAAACTACTCTTTTTTTTTTTTTTTTTTTTAAAAACAGTATTTAAGCACAGCCCGTTTAGCCCTCTTATGCTATCTCAGACTTCAGATCATTGAGATATGCATGTAAGGGTTTTTTCAAATTGGGTTATAATCCTGATGCCCCCAGTGCCAGCACTCCAAGCCAACTCATGTGACAAGGGACAACGCTCAGCACCTCAATGGGCCAATTTCCTAATGCCTAGAGAAAAGGAGCACAACGATAGAGGCCTGAATTTTGTCGGCATGCACAGCCCAGCACTTCCCCCCTCCCCATTCACCCAGAGATCCATGTGTTCTCCACCTGCCAAAGTGACATTTACAATGCTCACTGCCTTAAAACTAAACTGTTCCTTATCTCAGTCACGCGGTTAGCTCTTGATTCCCATGTGGCTGGTTTCTCTTTTAAACAGGGATGTCTGAAAACAGTGGTAGCAGAGCTATAATAGGTTATTAGAGCCTTCTGAAATATTATAGAGGGATCCTAAAGGCATCTATTCACTGAAGGTGCATAGAGCAGAAAGGCAACATTTCCAAACAAAAGCTAGGATCAGGTGACTCAGGCCCTGATCCTGCAATTGGCTCCACCTGAGCACATGCTGCTGTGGTGTCACCTTGCCAGAGGCTTGGGCATGCAGGCTGACCCACCCCAGCCCACCACAGGGCTGGGGCTCTTCACAGCAATCTTGCAGCCCTTATTCAGGACTGGATCCCGTTCACGTTGCTTCAACTAGAGTATTCATTATGTATGTTGGACCTGAGGCCCAGGCCAGAAATGGGGTTTCCCAAACATCTTGTAGAGTGCTGGGGCTATGTGTAGCCACGTGGTTTCCGAGTTCAGATTCCTACCCAGAGACAGCAGCAAAGCCCATCTGTTGTGCACGCTGAGCACGTGCAACTCCTTAGGCAATTCAAGAGCTGCAGGTGGGGTATCAAAAGGCCCCCAGCAAGTCTTAGGTTATACAACCAGCTTCTGAAGTCAACAGGAGTTGAAAACTTCAGTGCTTTCTGTGAGGTACTCAGACAACAGAAAGATTAGGCCAGTTGAAAAAAAAAATTGTTTCCACAAGTTGTAAACATTTTTATAAAACTGGCATTTCTTTCCTGAATATTCATGCTAAAAATTATCACCCTTGAAATGGTTTAGCTGAAAGTCCTGCCTCGTGAGTTTATATATGAGCATACTAAGATTTATGACAACTACAGAAGGAGGGCCTGAAACATAACCCATAGAGATTCTGTTCATCAGCTTCAATGGATCACGGGCAAGGCCCTAACTCATGTCTCATTTAAATCCATACATGTATTTGGTCCAGTTTGAAAGAACGACTGGGTTGGAAATGCAGTTCTTATAACCCCAGACTTTGCTTCAGGCTAAAGGAGTTTGCAAGTTTCTTAAAGTCAGCACAGCACAAAGCCATCTTCAGAGGCAAGAAAACAAAGACACCCTTGCTACAATCTAACACCAGCAGGAAAAATATTTGGCTGAAACTTTAGGTGCGAATTATAGTTGCTTAAGCTAGAACAAAAGGACAAAAATATCAAAAAAAATCTAGTTATGTGGAAATAAGGAAGGATTAGCTCTTTAAAAAGAAGGGAAAGATAGACATTTGAGGTAACAAAACAAAAAACCCAAAATGCGCAAACACATCACAGACATCTAAAAATAGCATTTTATACATTTTTTGCCAGTGCTTCTCTGAGAGCAAGTTCTTTAAACAGAACTTAACAATTTTACATTTTTTTTTAAAAAAATATGTCATCCTAAAATAGCCCATCAATCCTTACCCAAACTTTCTGTATTTCTACAAAAATAGATGCACAAAGAGCTACAAAATACTGTATTCCTGAAAGGAGGCGCACTGTAGTCAAGGGATAGTCTTTTTCCTGACAATTGAGACTGTTCATAAAAATATCAAGCTGAACAAAACAAAACACTGTTAAAAGAGCAGAAAGGAGTTAGGTTGCCCAGCTGCAAAAGGCTCAGATGAGGAAAGAAAGAAAAGCTAGTTTTTTCTTCAACATTGTGGGACCCATAAATGGCCTTACAAACAAAAGGCTCAATAGCAAAACCAGAACGGTTGGCTCTCCATCTTCATAGTGTCCTTTGCCCCATGCCGAAGGAGTCAACGATTGCTATATCACCGTCCCAGCTGTGGTGACCCCAGCTCCAGCTGGTCTTAAGTTATAGCTGAACTTCAGAACCAGGAAGTTTCCTTGCTCTTGTCCTGATGCTGTAGGCCTAGATTTCAGGAAAGAAAAAAAAAAAAAAAAAAATTAAACTCAAAACAGTTTTTTCCTCCCCCTCCCCAAACAAGCAAAGTTAGGATAAACAGTTAAAAACAAAGAAACAACAAAACAAACAACCCCCACCACACATCTTACTATCTTAGTGGATCTGCTAGTGACATTACTATTGCTCCCAATTTTACAGTTTATATGGCATAAGCTTAAACCACACTTAAGTTTTGACTGGCTCAAGCAGTTCAGGAATGCTGATAAAATCCTTTGTGTGCTTCCTAGTTTTGGCATCCTTTGGAAAGGACCATGGCGTGATAAAAAACCTCTAGTAAGGTCTGTACAGACATTCCAGCATGAAACAGAATCACTTTTCCTGATAGAGGCCAGGAACAGATGCCATCTCTTTTCTAAAAGGTCTGTAACACTTCAGGATCTCACAATTTCTACAGCATTTCACCCTAAAGAGAAGAGAGGGAAAATGTTCCTGCAGCAAGCAAGAATACCAAATAATTTCACCTACAGAGTGTCAGATTTTTAGCCAAGAATGGCTAGTGCTTCCACATGGGAAAAATTAATGATTTTCAGCTTGCATTTGTTATGAGTTTCTCTAACATTTTCCTTTATAAAAAGTGAGGACTATCTCATAAATGTGGTGCTATGTTGTGGCTTTAGCATTATAGACTTGGAACCTGTGTTATTATCTGGGATTTCTCTACTCCAGAGGGATTCAATCTTCGATAGATTTACACCCAACAGGGCGTATACCTAAAATACAGACAATAGAGAGGGAGGCGGGGATGAAAATTCCTGAGGAAGGCCCGTTCTTTGTCATTTATAGCAAAACTGAAAAATAAAGGTGCAGACACATATCGTAAGAGGCAGTAAGGCACTTAAGTCTCATTGATTCAAAACCGTCCCTTGACATTCTGAGCCAAGCCAATTAATTACATTTCATGAAATGAAGGAGCATTGCTATACAGACAGCTCTGCTCTACGTTATGTTATATATTGTTCAGCCACAAAGTGCATTAACACTGATACACTCACTACCTGACCTGCTATGAATTTAGGGCCAAATTCCCCACTAATTTAAGTACGTGCAACTTCAACTGACTTCTGTGATGTTGCAACCACTGTAGCTCCATGTTCATTCAGTCTTTAACGTGTGAACATTGAAGGTGTATTAAGCATGGATCTCCCGTCACATAACAATGAAACTCAGTGGAGGACCCCTGTGTTTTCAAAGGCCTTCTAACAGGCCTGATAAAACAAGTTGCTGGTGGTCAGATCTAAATCTGTGAGTACCATCAGTTAAACTGCTAATGATGATTGACAGTATTTCAGAATAGAGTTACAAAGCTATTAATAGTCCTCTAAGAGATGACAGCGTATTGACCTGTTCGTCTGAGCACGTCTAAGCACTGCCCGAACACTTGTGCATTCAGCAGTGAATAGACAGGGCACAGAGCACACAGAGGTGACTTGCCTGTGTCTGGAGGGGACTATTTCCAGATAATTTCCAGATACAGAAATCACACTATCCAGCAGTTGATCCTGCAGTCTAATCATTGCTCTTTGGCTTAACACAGTGAAGGCCAAAATGCAATCTGAAAACCACGTGGCAGATGAGTGAAAGCCAGACATACACCTACTTTCACCTCTGATGGACCTGTAGCACAAATAACGCCAAATATAGCACGCCAAATCCTGTTGAGTGGCTTCTTGCTCCATTCCACATACATTTGCACCTATTTCTTTGGACTAGAAGAAACTGAGGCATCCCTAAACTAAGGCATGCCTATAAAAACATGGTCAGAGGCTCTTCACTTGCAAGGATCTCTCCCTTTTGCTCAAGGGCTATTGCTTTCCTGGCAATATCATTTACAGAGTCATAAAAAACTGTCTTCAGTTTCCTTCAGAGCTCCCTCAGAATCAACTAGTGACAAGTTTGTATTATTTTTCCCCTTCTGTTTACAATTAAAAAAAAACAAAATAAATAAGAGTCAGACAGCAGAAACCCTGTCAAGAAGTCATTAAGTGCACAGTGCAGTAAAGGCCACCAAGATGCAAGAGGAGCAGGTGAAATGAGAAAAAGTTCTTTATGGTTCAAACCAGCTAAAAAAAATAAAACAGAACAAAAACAAAACACATCTGTTTAGGAGGATATCCACTTGATGACAGAGATTAGTAGAAGGGGAATAACCACCTGATCAGACACATTTCTAGTCAGTCTTTGCAACAAACAGAAATAACTGTAAGAAGGAGGTTTAAGGTATAGCAATTAAGCCCAAGCAGCCACTGAAAACAGTCCAAAAGTTAAAGTTGCCTTAGTTACAGAACTGAATATGGAACACTTTCCATGCCTTTTCTTCATTATATTCCCATCTCCCTTATGGCAAGGCTATGCGCAGTTCTAACATGTCATCCAAGTGCAGCCACGCCACTAAGAGCTTTAACTTGCAGTCTGCTGATAAAGCAAACATTTTCCTCTTAAAACATCCTCACTTCTATTGTGCGACTCAGTATTTCCACACCAGCAGAATTCTCCAACTCTGAGACACCAATAGGAGAGCTAATTTTCACATGTGCAGAATACAGGTTATGTAGACACACCTGATAAAACTAACGGATTGGGACAAACACGTCGCACGTGTAAATATAGACATCTCTATGAAGGACAATAGGCTGTGCTCACTCAAACCTGCATTCCATGTGACACAGTGACTCAGAGGCATTTCCAAAAGAGGACTTTTCACAGTTAGCCAAGCAACTACAGCATGACACTTCACTCGCCTAAACTTAAACGGATGCGAACCTCAATTTTCAGATAGAATTACAACCCTCAGATATGCCAAAACCTTGCTCTGCTTTTCGTGTGCTGGGGTTACAGGAAACCTCTTCTGTCACTTCCAGCACATCTGTCCAGCAGCAGGGCAGGATATCCTCCTAGCACGCTTGGCAGCAGCGGCGGGGCAGCTTGCTCCACGCTCCTCCCCACAGCAGCCCTGGCCTACGCAAGCGCTGCTGCATTCAACTGACGGGCCAGTACGTCCGGCGGAAAACCACTTGACCCCAAGGTGCAAGTGGAGAGCGCAGAGGGCCGCGATCAGCTGCTCCAGCCACTAAGTATGTATATCAACACGCTTTTGTATCAAGCACTCCAACTTGGGCACCTGAGCTTCAGAAAGATACTGCTTCCCAGCAGCCACAAACGCAACAGGCTTGAACCTTTCCGATTTAGACTAGTGCTTTCTTTAATCCCACTTGTAGACATTCAGGAGCTTCTAGAAGGTTAATTTGCAGCATGCAATGCAAGGATTAAGCCACATTTAAAGGGAATCAGGTAGCTAAATCCCTATTCATCCCTTTAAAACTGAACCATGTAAGTTTAAGCAGATGTGCAAGATAGATCAATACTCTGTTAGCTCAACAAACAGCGATACACTCATGTCCCATGCAATCTGCTCTGAAAGAGAAATCCCTAAACTCTACCCTGTATGCAAGGAGACCCCCACTCCTCAACCTTTGAAGTGATTCAGCATCATCCGTTCCTGAGATCAAATATTTGGCTAAGCATGGCAGAGATGCAACAATATAGCGGGAAGTGGGTTCGATTACAGCCAGCCCGCTGGTGATCAACACTGCCATTGTGCGTAATTTAGCGTGAGGAATTCTGCAAATGTTTCCATAATCGCATGTGACAGCGGCAGAAGAAATGTGACCCACATAAGTAAGAGGAAAAAAATAAGCATCCCCTGTGCATCTGAAGGGCTCTGAAAAGCCACGACTAGATGCACACCAAATGAGTATTCTTACATAAATCATCTAAAGCTCATGGAATGCGATATACTGATAACGCCAGAGGCTGATGTCTTTTATTCTCCAGGGAGATATGAGCAAAGGCATCCAGAATGGAAGTTTTCTGGCCACCATGTCCCTGCCCTACTCTGGAGAGAGAAAGCCAGCACATTCTTGTAGGCCCTTCAGTTTTTGCCTCTCTGCTGAGATTGCCACTCCATATTAGAGTCAAATGTAATGAAATTCTGTGTGATGTGGAGATTAGTGATATTCACTATTATCCTACCTCTGAATTGACATAGAGCAATAAAAACCCACAGTGCCAGCAAGGGCTAGACCTGAATGGCCAGATCGAAAAGGCAGGGCCCCCCAGGCCTGCTCCTTCGCCAGCCGCCCCTCTTCCCAGCCGGGCAACACACACAGTCCCACGGACTGACACCAACTGGGGCTGCATGCAAGGCCCCGGAGTGAATAAACACACCCTTCTCAGCAGACAGCACCCAGAACACCCATCACCTGAGCATTTGTCCCACATCTGCCAGGCTCAGGTAGGGCTAGGGAGGGAGCTCAGAGTTGGCCCTTCACAGTGAGCCTCTGCTTTAGGGCAGCGAGAGCACAGGAGGGATGAGCGGGCAGGGTAAGGGAGCGCATGACCATAATGCTATCGGCCACTGTGATACACATCGTTTTCACTGCATCCGGGCCGAGTCGTGACACTTCAATGTGTGGCACAGATACTGTCATGCGGCATCGGACTGTAGCACCTAAGGAGCGGTGACTTTCGTTGCTCACTGTCCTGTTTCCAAAGACCTGGGTGCCAAACTGGAGTAGCCTGATAAGCCTGCTCTGTTGTGTTTCAGTGCATGGCCACTTTGAAGAGTCAGAAACGAGCAAGCCACTGGCCTGCCAGGATCCTCCATTTTTACAAATGGATTGCTCATCGTTTTTCCTCTCTCTTTTCCCCCCACAGGAACTCATAGACATACATCAACACAGGCCAGAAGTTACAGTCCATGCCTTCTCCACTCCTCCTGTCTTGAGGAGGCAACTATAAGACACACAAGCTACTACTAAGCACTGCCAAATCAAGGTCCCTGACAAAATTAACATCCAACTATGCCCCTCCATAGGGATTTTCACACAGAGGAGGCAGCGCAAAGCAAAGGCTGTATTAGCCCTGTAAGGTGGTGCTAGGTCCCATCATCTGTTTTGAGGTCCTATGCTCTCAAAGAAAAGAGTTCAAATATCTTTTTTATTAGAAGTACTACTACTACTACCAAAGCAGCACTAAGCCAACTAATTTGCCAGCACTGAAACAACTCCTGATCCAGGCAAGACTCATACCCAAGCCATGTAACGGTTCTTTCTGACGAACCATGCCCTTACACAGTTCCCTGCTTCGTTCCCCAGAAAGGCAAGGCAAATACCAGAGCTCTGGCACTAGACTGCTGGGGTTACTGTCAGACCAGTGGGCAGGTCCCCTCTATCAGTGGTAATAGCAATTAGCTCGTGCTTCAGAGCAAAGCAACGCCCTTCCATTATGGAACTTGTCAGAAGAACAAAACCTAAGTTCCCAATGTTGGCAGATTATCAAAAGTATAAAATGTATTTCCTCTTGTATCATCTGCACAGCTGGAGAAGTTAATAGATAAAAAATCGTCCAGTATTAGGAGCCTTACTATGCTTTTTCTTAATTTCTTGAGGCAGCAAATAGCATGGTACTTAAAAGAGACTAATGGTTCCCAGTTGCTAGGGCAGAGAAGAGAGAGAGATCTGCATTAGGTCATCTCAGTTATAATTGGGTTCTGGGTTCATATTATTTCATATTCAAGAAATGGCATTTTTCCTTCATCTATTCCTCGTTTCCCTACGCACTCAAAGTAAGCGTGTGACTCTCACAAATAGAAGTTTGTGAGAACTTTCAAGAAGACAGACAAACCTATCTGAAGGAAAAGGTAGGAAAGATGTAAATCTAACAATTTCCTTAATAAAGTAACAAAAAGTGTTTAAGAAGTCATAATCTGCAAGGATTGCTGCTGGTCAGATAAATACCAAGCAGAAATAGGAGATCACAATAGTGCATACGAGCTCCAGGATGGACACGCTGGAAACCAGCAGTCACCCATGACCTGTAAAGATCATCTCCATAAACAGTGGGGGTTGCTAGACTGCTCCTAACACCAAATAGTGAGATTTGCATGCAAGTCAAAGCCTACCTATAATATAACAGGTGTAGTTTATGGCAGGGGGACACAGTGTGCAGTAAAATGAATCTAATCTAGAGACCTCCACCTAGAGTCTATACAATGATATGATAACGAGCACAGCTTAATCAGCATCTTTAGTCTCTCTAAGTAACACCTGGATATTAGACAGGAGGGAAATGCTGATCTGTTCCAACGTAGAGGACTCCTCATGTGCTGACACGTTATTAATCCAGTCCTCACTGGAGCTGTATTTTGGTGGATGCATATATTAACTACCTGAACAAGCTGGAAACTTCCACATGGAAGTTTAATCAGCCATTTCCCATAAGGATTTAAACCACAAAGACACGTATCATGTCATAACTCATTTGGCTTGATGGGGCTAAGTGAGACCAAGGCCTCTTAGCCAAAGGCAGCGAGAATTGGACGTTTCACAGCTCTTGCCTGCTCTGACAGCATTTTCTGGAGGGATTACCACCTGGAAATATATTTGGAGAAAGCTCTGAGGACAAGCCCTACTTCAGCCACAGGCAGTCCACTTCTGTGCTAAAATACGTCCTGTTAAAACAAGTCACAGACAATTGAACCACCTTACCTGTGTCAAACCCAAAACTCGGCACAATGTCCACCGTCCCATGAAAGGCTCCAGCCCATGCTGAGGTAGCGCTGGTGACAGCAGTGGGATCTGTCTTTGTCACGTCACACTGGGGAGCAGGAATCCTGGCTGCACGTACTGAAGGCATCAGCAGGGAACCATACCGTGGGTCGCGGTGCGAGCTGGGATGGTGATGGTGCATGTGTGGATGAGGGTGATGGCGATGCATGTATACATCATGCATGTGTGCATATGAAGGGCTCACCTGAGACGCTAAAGGATAATGCCAGGATTCGGATGCAGCAGGGGGAGGAGGTGGGGCAGTCTGATGAAGGCTGTGTCCTGGCCAGCTGCTGGGATCTGCTGTCGGGAAGGTGCCTGGTGCAGTAACAGGGAAATCGGGGTGTACTCCACTTAAGCATGGTGGAGGGGGAGGCTGATAAGAGCTGGTCCAGAATGAAGTTGGGAAACTGCTCCTTTGGCTTGAAATAGTTGAGCTTTCTGGTGGAGAGGAGAGGGAAGAAATGAAGTATGAATGAAGCTGAACAACATATTTGAATGAAAAAAAAAAAAAATCGTCTACCCTCTCAAATTTTATCGCTGTACTCAAGCTTTCTCAGTAATTCCAGTATGAAGATCTTAATTCCTGATCAAATTAAAATGAACCATTTAGAAAGGCAGCTGTTTTTACTGTAAATGCTTCTGAAGACAGCCAGCCAGCTCATACTGCAGAATATGAGAGACATGTGGCTAATGTAAGAATACCACATCTCTTCAAATTAACTGCATGCTTTGATGGGGTAGAGATCATACCCAACGCAGCTTACATTAGTCCCTTATAGAATATATCACGTTGCCCACTGTCCAACAGGATCAGACAAACTGACCCATCTATGTAGCTGAAAGAAGATTTTGTCTGAAATGAAAGATTTGCTACTTCGTACAACTAGGGCTCAACTTTTCTTTAAATGCATTCCAATACCTCTACATTATGAAATCACATTCTAAAAATTCCTCTTTTGAAGGAGTGGTTAGTGTTTCTGATGTGTAGGAAAGTATTAGCATCTTCACTCTCACATCTCTCTTGCCAACTGATATTTGAAATTGCATTTGCTTCATGCAATATGTCTCAGTTCAAATAGTTTTTTTCTGGTCAAAGATGGAAATATAAAAATACAGGACTTTACCTCTGATGAAAGAACAAAGTCATAAAAATGGCCTATGGAGAAATAAAGCCAGGGATGTTTAATATTTGACAAGGTAAGGAATCCTCTGTTCCTCACATAACATTTGTAAAAATATTTATATTAATTTTTTTAAATGACCTTTTGTTTTGCTTTGTTTAACAAGCAACTGGAATGAGACTTAGGTGAAGACATCATTGAGAATGAACAGATTCTTCAAACGCTCCTGCCTCTGAACTTTGCTTACTTTAAACAAAATATTTTGGAAACATAAAAAACTGTAAAAGTTTTTTTCTGACTGCATCATTAGGACACTTGTGTGTCTATTTCAGAGTCCATTAAAATAACAGAAGTTTTTCCATGCATCAATTGGCTTTGATTTATGCATTTTAGTGAGCCTGATTAACTTCTGGTATTGGAAGTGACTTCAGCAAACATATAACAGAGAAAAGTAGAAAAGTCATCTTTGTGCCAAACTGCTTCGGAGCAGGGCTGGAGGGTTATCTAGCAAATTGTGCTCCAGCATGGCTTTCTCAAAAAGTTGCTTCTTTTTTTAAGCAGTATTTCTATTGTAATTTATACTAGAGGACTGTGGAACGCTTCAGGCACACAGCAGAAGCCTCAGTACTCCTCTGAAACTGATATTGTTCCTTCTTTGTAAATTGTTCCTTGTTACAAGTGATTAGGCTGTGATACAGAGTGCACGTACCTGGCTTGGAGTGTTGGCCGCTGGGCTGACAAAAAGAACAAACAAAGGAAAAAGGAAAAAAAAAAAACAAACACGCTCAAACCCAAGCTGCATCATGTCCAGTATTGTGTTTTCCTCACTACTTAAGAGGAACACAGCTTGACAATCCATTGCTAGTTTTGCAAACTCTCTGGTTGTTATCAGCATGGAAAAACCTTAAACGCAAATCATCTCACATCAAAAAAAAGCATAGGAAACCACAGAGCATCTTCAGGATGATAGCAATACTAGGAGACAGGACTTCAAATCACTGGATTTGCCAATATGAATTCATCCCAGATTGTACATCAGCTTGGCTTTACCAATCAGTAGGTCTAGGCCATAAAAACTGTGTTTGGTCTTCTCAATTTTTCAAACCAGTGCCCACTGCACAAAACCATTACCACTGTCAAACTCTTACGTACCAGCCCCATTGAAATATCAAGCAATAAGTTTATCTACAGAGGAAGCAGCCAACCTGACTGGTCAAGGTGAAGTCATATCACTGGGATACCATGTCCATCCATGTTACACATATGAGCAAGAAACTCTCACCCACCCAGACGGTTGCATGCTATGGACCATTAGGCATGCAACACCACCACCACCAACAACAACTGTCTGTGCTGAATCACAACCCTAAATTACCACACATTCATACCATATTTGAAGGTGCTCCTTTCCTCTCTACCTTTAAAACAGTGAGTACAGCCAACTGCCTTTACGAATACTGTCGTGCGACATGCCAGTCCTCTAAAGAGTAATGGAGAGGCAGCCGTTTCAACATTTTCCTTGAGAAAGAAAAACGGAATAGCTTCCACTGGCTTCTGGGGGTGGGAGGAAGAAAATGTAGCAAAAACTGTTTGCCAAGAAAGATACTAGTTACCACAATTTCCTATTCTAAGTACAAGGACGCAGGGGGATGGCAATATCTCAGATACCATGAAGTGGTGACTAATGCAAATGTTAATAGTGGCTGGCCAACATGCACTGAAAATTTGCCAAAGCCCACATGCTATAAAGATGACAATGTATGGAATTTTCTGAAGTACAAGGATACTTTTCAGTTGGGGTGGGGGGGGGAAGGGTGAGTGGGGAACGAAGAACTTTTAACTAGGAAAAAGAAGTTGGTAAAAACATCATTAAAATAACATCGGTTTTAAAGTACAGCCCCTGCAAAAGATTTCAACCCCTTCTTGATAGAAAAAATCCACAATTTCCACAATTTTGCCTTAACGATTAAATTATAGTTTATTCTTCCATCATGACAATAATAAAAAAATTAGATGAAAAAACAGAAGACGTAGCTAATCCTTCTTTTCATGGTAAACGAGAAACAACGCAATGAGCTGAACAGCCAGTCCGTTCCTACTCACCTCCCGTTTAAATTTGCATCTTCCCAAACAGCTATTGCAAATGCAAAGCCTCATTTTGAATTGATCTCCAAGTAATTTGTTAATAAAAATTCAGGCTCCTCATAAAGGTCACTCATGAAAGATCTCCAAGCTAACGGTATTTTAATGTCCTTAAGTAAGGAGATACTAATATGTATGCATTTACTGTAACCGAACATCTCTGACAACCACACACAAATGAGAAGACTAAGACATTAATATTACACTTTCTCACTTTTTTAGGTGGACAAGGTTTAGAAACTCATTTGAGCCCAATAAGACTCTTTTCAGCTTCTCTTCTCTTGAGAAACAAATACTCTTTACTTTCTCAGAGTTCACATTGCAGATCAAGCAGCCCTGCCCGGCAGCCTCCCCCAGGATTTTTACGCCGCTCCAGCAGGTGCGACGACGGCAGAGGGCAGGCATATCCCCTTACTTTATTCCAGGAACACTTCTAGGACACAGAGACCTCCACAGCACCCTGATGGTATGGGGCACTCTGGGGGAGGTGGTAGCACGGCTGACACACCCTTATGCCAGGCTACCCCATGCCTCAGCAGACCCCTCTGGGGAGGGCTGCACAATGATGGGGAGAGTGAGGAAAAACCAGCGGGAAACGTCTAATGCCACGGAGAAGCTCCCTCCACAGTACAGCATGTCTGAAAACTCAGTGAAGAGGGTCCTCCATAGGCACTGCTCTCTGGTGATCCCGTCTCTAAAACATTTATAGCCTGTGTGGGCCATTTATAAATGCTCCAATCTCTTTTTTAGGAAGCATAGGTTCAATCCTGCCCTCAGTTGGGTCTATGGAAAATTCCCCATTAACGTTAATGGTCCAGGCTCAAGCCATAAATTCCTCTAGCTCCCTAGCCACTTGTGCTGACCTTTGCTTAAACTTCCTCGGATTTGTCATCATCCTTCTAGAAAGCAAGTCCTTCTGTGTTAGTTTCCTCTTCACAGCGGTATCCAAAAATCCTTTTTTTTTTTTTTTTTTTAAATCTATGTTTTTCATAAATATGCTCTCACCCCAATACCACTAATTATGAAAACCCTACTCCTGCAAGGATCCTCATGGTATATCACTAACCCAGCTTGACGCAACACCATTACTCATTATACTTAGTTCACAGCCCTCTTGCCAGCACTCACTCCACCTAACGAGATGGTCAAAATTAATATAGTCCTTCAAATCCATAATTGCATCAAGTATCACATTCAGCAAAATGGAAAGCGTCTTACTGGTGTGCTTTCTCCGGCCACCAATTCTGAAGTTCTGTCCATAAGATCTATCTAATTTATCTGTCAAGATCTCTATTACATTCATAATGCTTATATGCATTATGAGACATGAATGTTACATTGGCATTCAAATACCTCACAGTGTCTACTGTATTTATACTGCCTGCTAGAAAGTAGCGTATTGTTATCCCAATTTTGCATAGGAGAAGTCAGTAACAATGATCACAGCACTCCTGCAAGCTACGCCAGAGGGTGGGCTGAAATGCACTGTGCCATGTGCCTGCAGCCCACCACAGCCATGAGGGCCTGGGTTTGCCCCCAAGCCTATTCCAGGCTGTGCTTGATCCTCTCAGCTTGGATAGCCAGCTGTAGATGAATCTTAATTACCTGGCAAAGTCACCCAAGAAGGCTGCATGAGCCTCTTTGCTTCAAGGCTAGCATCCCAATTAGCTTCACTGTTGCCTCAGAGGCCAAATTTCACCCTTAGAGCTTAAAAACAAGCCTGAGACCTCGCAGCAGACATTTGTGAAGCCACATGAGCTGTGCCCCGTTCCCTCTAGGCCTCGGCCAAGCCGCTGCCTATGGGAAGAATGGGAAACGTCTGCTTCTTCCACTCTTGGCCTCTTGCCTTGTTTAACACTTCAGCTAGTCAACCCCAAGAAGTTCCTCATTTCTTTCGTATTTTGGGGAATTTTTCCACCTCCAGAGAGGAGCAAAATCTCAGCTGCAATGCAATACACGTTACCATGAAGTAGATTAAGCACACCAGACAGAAACAAATTACTGCTCCTCTTACCTCTCCACAGAGGACTTAGCCCTGCCTTGCTCTTTGAAAGGGCAGTTTCTGGACTGAAGCTACTGGCTTGGCTCAAAGCTCTTGAGAAGTGTTCATCTACTACTGAACCAATATCTCCCTGGAAGTAAGTGAAAAGGACGCAGCGAGAGTTAAGGTACTCCATCTCAGCAGGCTGGTCTTTCTCATCCTCCTCTTGCTTGCTGGGAAGGGTCACTTCCAGAGACTCCTGCATCTTGTTGTATGCAGCTAACTTCTTCTGAGATTTAAAAACAAAACAAACAAGGGATGTATCACTAGTGACATTCAATGGAAGCTCAACATCTGGTTTCTGTAAAGAAAAATATCTGAATATGTTGAATATTCATTTCATAAGTAAAGTTGGAACACAGAAATATTTTGCACAAACCTTTCACAAAGAAGAGTTTACCAGTGCTGCTTAATTTTTATCCCTCACACATGGATAGGCCTGGTTCTCAGACATATTTCACAATCACAATTAACTTCATGGCAACTGCTTTTGCTCAATACCTTCAAAAGAAAACAGATTCTAACAATTCACTTCTGTCGCCCACCTGGAAAGGATATTCCCATCAGTAAAGGCTACAGAGGTCAAGTCTAGCCCTATGGAAGGGTGACCATACACGCAACACCAGTATTTCACATGTCTAGCAGAGCAGTGACCAGGTTTTGCCACCTGGGCTCCCTTTGTTGAGGGTAATCAGGTCTCTGGCTTCCCACCATCCACCTACTCATTGTCAAAGGCACAAGAATGCCACAAAAGTCAAGGTGGAGAATTTGATGCTTTCTGAAAAGTTTTCCACTGTAGTATAAACATCCATATAATACATAAACTATGTCACTTACAGCAAAGAAAATTTCCATCATCAGAAACTGTACCTTGGGTTGGGTTTGGGAGGTGTGTGTGCATGTGGGGTTTTTTTAAACATCTTTTGGAAAAAAGACAAAAATCTATGTCACAAATAATCAAACATGTGATCTGGGGAAGAGGGGAACTGACAAGTCTACAAACACATACAAAAAAAAAAAATCTCCAAACCAAAAACACAGAAGCCTTTAAAATATATATATATAATAAAATCAGCATAAGCCATCTGTGAAAGGCTATTTCAAAATCTTCTCTCTCTCTCTCATATCAAACCTAAATGTCAAAATAAATGTGTGTGAAGATCCATTTTGCATGGAACATATTTTTCAGATGTTCCACTTTACAACTGTTTTCACAGAAAAAAGCTCCCCACAACAGCCAGGCTGCAGGAATCACAGCTTTTAGCTAGCTAGCCATTTCCATAGCTGACTTAACACACAACAGCTTCAGCAACCCCAAAACAACTACAGCATATAAGTAGAAGTATATCATAGCTTTTCTTTAGAATTACAGTCTGACTCATCTTTTATGATTTGCTTGGAAACATTTTAGCGCCATCAGAATCTCTTTAAGTTTATGGCTTTCTTCCCTTTTTCCAAAGTTGTTACACAAAACAAGTTAAACGGCTACATGGTTTATAAAGTTCCATTTATACAGTAAATATGCTTGTTTGATTTAGAAATAATTGGAAGTCATTTTCTGATCTTGTATACCATAGATATATTTACATTCTGTGCTTTTTAAAACTACCTAAGCACGCACACATTTTCCCATTGTACTATGGGAAAGAAAATCTCAGGCTAATTCTTAATTATGAACAGTTACTAAAAAAACTGATTAGATAAAAAAAAAAAACTGTTTTGTATATCTCTCCAAATTTATAAGTAGAATTAAAATCTATAACACTAAAAGCTCAAAAGTGATATTTCTATCTAGGAGGTTAACTGATAAACGTACAACAGTTCAGCAACAATTTTAACCCTGATTCTGTTGCACAAAGTGCAGTGAGGGATATAAGTTATTATATAGTAGAGTTTTGAAGATCTAGACAATAGTCTGGGCTCAAACACTTTAGAAAGGCAAGTTGTACTGCACTTCTACTTAGCACAGTACTACTTATTTAGATACATAGATTTATCCCAAGATCCTACAACACGTACTACGTGGGATACACACAAACACAAAACAGGAACAGCAAGTTAAAACAGTTTTGCCAGAAATTAATTGCTGAAGTGAAAATACATTCTGAGGCTATGGAATTAATTTTTGAAAAAACAGAATTTGGGGTGACATACAATAGACTTTTTATATATATAAAATGTTTACTTTTAAATGCTTTGTGCCTTCTGTAAAGAAAAAAAAAATTGTCTCCTAATGTTTTCTCCTGAAATGCTTACTAACCTATCACCCAGAGCAAACTTTATAGTTTTGCCTAAGTAACCCCTGGATGATGCGACCTTAACAGAAGTAGTTACAGAATGTATAACATCACTGTATATTCAGGAGATGCATGCATGCTGTAATACATCTACCTCAGTGACCTGATGGTATTTAAAGATGTACCATAACCAAGCTCTGCTTAAAAACACAAGACAAGTAGTTGGGGAAGGGTCAGGTCTTTTTTTTTTTTTTTCTCTTCTTCTCTCTCTCTCTCTCTCTCTTCCCCCCCTCCCCCAAGAGACAAAGCCATGACAGACCCCTTCTATAGAAGTCTTAATAGATGTTGATGCACTGGGGACATCTCAGATGCATGGGCATATACCAGACTTTAAATACACGTAGAAATCAACTTTAAGTGTGCTATCATTACAGATACACTCTTTGTATTTATGCGGAAAGTATGCAAATACATATACAAGCATGCAATTATATACAGAAACACGTCATTTAATATAGCCCCTGGCTTGAGTTGCTTATCAGGAAGGAAGTCTTTCAATGTTCCTATATAGAGACTGAAGCTCAGGAAATTAAAACTTATCTCCAGAGTCGCTTCTCTGCGCAGGAATGTTCCCCCTTCCACAGCCTAAGAATCTAATTCATTTTCCATTTCAGCTCGCGTCCCTACCTCCACCCGTCCAGTCCATGGGTTGTCATTACAAGAAACTCCGAGCACTTGTTCCATTTTTGAAAATAATCTCACACACCTATACGTGAAAGGTAGTACTGACAGACAACTACAAGCCCTTGTGTGTAGATTAAAATTATCTACCACGAAATTTGTGTTTTGTGGGTTGGTTCTTGGAAAAAAATAAGTTACAAATTAAATGATTCTTCAAAACTGCATCAAGCTGGTGATCAGACACAGATCTACGTAATTACTATTACAGGAATAAATTATCAGCCAATTTTTTTCCTGTAATTACACAACTCTTTAAATAAGAAGCTACAATAAGATAAATAGTGACTTAAATTTTCCTTGTACACAAGGTATACATCCCTTCCAAAGTACACATCCTTTAACAGAAATCACTGTTTTCTCCCCATCGACCCTTAAAATACTTGTGTCTGCATGCAAATTTTGGGCTGCTTCTTCTGACCCTAACAGTGATCTTCTCATAAGCATTTGCGACTGCACTTGTGTGAGTGGACAAGTACACGAGATCATCAATTGCTGAATGAATTCATTACAGGGTGGGGGAGGGATTAGGTTTCTTATAACTAACCTGGGTTAGCCACTTTTCACTTGTATTTTTTTCATATGAACAGTTCTGGCATACATTTAAGCAGCCAACACTATCTATAAGTCTTTATACAAAGAGAGCATGTTCTGACTGAACACAATGTATTTCTTGACTATGTTCAGATTTCTGATACTTTCACGTACTCATGATTTCTTCCTCTCTTTTCCTTAAGAGCTAGGGACTAAAGTTAAACAGCCTGTGGGGTGGGGACAGGGGGGTAATAATAATAATTAAAAAAAAAAAAATCACATCTTGGTAAAGGCCCAGAACACAGAATTAAAATTCAGCTTATCACACTGGAAATCGGGTAGTGAAATGGGAAATTCAGGCACTAAAGCACCTGACACCAACCTAGATAATAGACAGGGCTGGGGAAGTAAAGTGCCTGGAGGATGAATGGAAGGACCACTGGGTAAATAAGGTTATACAAGCATAGGCTGCACTCAGTTACAACCAGCATGATTTTTGTTATTTCATATATTCACAAATAAGCTCTTCCAAAAGAGAATTTTAAATCTTATTACAAGTAGTTTGAAGAAAAGAAACTAAAGGTCAACAGCAAGTTACCACTAATACGGGAACATTAAAAAAAAGAAGGCTTATGCTGGATATGCATGAACGTCCTCTCTTCTGGAGGCAAAAAAGACCATGCGGGTCTTTTACACTAACAAAGAACGCGGTCCAAAATCTCACACAAAACCTCTGTCTTGAAGATCACTGTTATTTTCTGACATATCCTAACCAGAACTAAGCAAAACTGTTCTCATGCAGTGAAATCCTGGCCACATTAAAACCAATGGCAAAAGTCCAATTGACTTCAAGGGTCCCAGATTTCACCCATGGTGCCTGGTAAAAACATGAGAACATTCATCTCAAATTGAAAAAATTTCACTCCCAGCTGAAACCAGCTAGTAGACAGCAAAACAAAGACAACTAAGCACAGTTGAGACTTGAAATTTTAGTTTAGTCAAGTTAGGTCTGAAAATTCAGGCCAGCTCTAACTTTACCTATCAGTTGGCTGCCAATTCCTACAAGCTATTATCTCCATACATGCCATCATACAGCACGTGGTCCTTTATGCTCCCAAGCACGAAAAGTCTGGTGTGCCTGTGGCCACCTGTTACAGATTTTCCATTATGAGAGAAAGAATAGGAACTGAAAATAAAGAATAACTACACTGAGGAAACACTATATGACCCTATCTCGAGAAAAAAGGCTGTCATTTGACAGAAGCTTGCTTCTGAGAAGGAATTTTGGTAACAAACTCCAGGCAAAACACGGATAGTCCTCCATTTGTGAAACTGTCTGCCAAGCAGGCTCCTATTGATAACACAGAAAGTATTCAAGAGAGACAATTTCAAGCAATCACAGAGTGGAATGCTGGGCCTGAAAGCAGTATTTACTGCATGCCTTGAAAACATGAAATGCTAACTTTTAGCCTCGTGAAAGAGGAAGCAGAGCACAAAGCTGAACTCCTTCCAGGTGTGGCGCTGGATCTGCAGCACTAAGGCTGGCAGTTCCTGCTCTGTGCTGCTGATGGAGGGAGGTAGCGGAGGAAGAAAGAATTTACACATCTTCTGCAGTACATCTAAATGGAGGAGTATGGTTAAAGTCTAAAGCTTTATTTTTATGTAGCTAGACGAAGACTGAATAGCGATTGGTCCCCATCCGAACAACAAAATAAAGCAGGCCAATTTTTTTTAAATCAGCAGGGTCTCGCAAGCAAAAGAAAAACAGACAAAAACAGGGCAAGACTTAATCCGGGTTTTGCATGGTGTGATTGAGAGCAGCCTTTAAAGATGAGTCATACAGGTCTGATCTAATTTCTAGTGAAGTCAGTAGTAGGGCACCTATCGAACTTCAGAAAAAGCCTTGAGAAAGCATCGGAACTGCAAAAACTAAATGGAAAGACATCTTCTGCTGTGTTAGACACTGAGGAACGCAACTCACACACAGAGTCTTCCAGCACTAGTAATACAAGCCCATCCTAAAAGTTGTGAACACGTGTCACAGAGCTCTTTACTAGAAAACTAAGTTACAGTACTTGAAACTAGAGTTTAGCTACAGACAGCTGACACAACGTTAAACGCAACTTGTCCTTGTCTGCAAAGTTCTTAGTTTGGAAGGAAGAGTCAAGTTAGTGACCTAATTTTCTAATGAAGACAAGTCCTTATCTGGAAAAAGTCTGTCTACGGCACTGCCAGCAGTAAGTCTGACTTGAGCACATCACAACTCCTTGTGCAAGACTGATTTAGCAAGGACGGTGTTTGGCTCAGCTCTCTACATCTACATACCATGGAGAAATTCCAAAACTACCATTTACTGTAACTTCCCATTTAAAAGGTTTTAAGCTTGGCTGTTAGCGAGCCAGCGCAAATCCTACCTTAGACTCAGCTCCGCAGCTTGCTACACCTAGACTGATAGGGTAGGGCAAACTGTCACTACCTTTCTCGTGCACCAAATATAAATTGAGATTCTTCACTGACTATGCGTTTCCAGAGGCTGCTCAAGCGGGAAGATCTGTTACATCTATTCCTCTCCCAACCCACAGGAAACCCAAAACTTACTACTACAGCTTCAGAGCGCTTCAGGAGAGCGTGCAGTCAGCTGAGTTTTAATTTCACTGCTCTGCAGGGCTGTATACTCCTGCAAGCACAGCTCCTTACCACACAGGAGAATAACACGTTCACGTTGCTGTAACACCATCACACATTTGCTCTGTATTTTAGCAAGTAAAAATGGAATCCCCAATTGATCAGTAGAATTAGGGCTGCACCCCATTTTCATTTGTTCCTTCTGATGCTGTGTGAGCAAGCATATACATCCATCTTCCACTCGTTTCCCTCAGTAAACGCCCTGGACTTCAGCAATCTCAAAGATCTAAGGTGCTAAGCCTCAACTCCCATTAACATTCAATAGGAATTCAGGCTTCAGTCCCTTAGGTCCTTTTAAAAAATCCCATCTAAATTAATTTGCCAGCAAGTTCTTTCCTGGACTCGTGAAAAGCTACGGCGGCAGCATTTCGGCATTGCTATGCAGCGCAAAATGAGTTCTGCATCGATTTTAAGGGAAGGGGAAGTGCACACACAGAAACACAGGAATAACTTTAGGGTAGGGTAACTTTTTTAAGAAGGCATGCTGGACCGTCCCTAAAAATCTCACTTCTGCACGCCCTAGGTTTGTGCTAGTCCATCACTTAATCCAAGACCTGTTATGTAAAACAAGAGATGCCCGTTCTGAACCCCGTCACTGCAGAGGCGAGACGCGGCACCAGCTGCCTGCTGAAGGCACATCTCCGGAGCCAGGCACATCTCCAGAGCCAGGCACACAGCGCGTGCCCTGCCAAAGCACGAGCAAGCTACCTCTCAGGAGGGATGCTGCGACTCACACCTTGAGCTTGTGCCTCTGCACCGGGCACCTCCCGCTGAGGAGCGGGATCAGCTCTTTAAAAGATACAAATCTCCTACCAAAAGCTGCCATAAACAATTACATGTTCGCAAGGTAGTTTTATTACCCAAACACTTATCAGGATGCCCAAGCTTCAGTTAAAATAACACATCCAAAACTCCCCGCGTTGAACGGGAAAGACGACAGAAGCCCAACACTGAGGAACTTTTTTCTCTCAGGAAACAGATCATTTTACTGGGTACTGAAAGACAACAGAGTACAAAGATCCTGAAAAATGTTACAACGGAGTCCTCAGATATTTTAAGGATGAGCTCCACTTCATCAGCTCTAAAAAGAGAGTTTTATTTTTACAATGTCCTACTAATTCATCTTCCTCCACTGTTATTTTTTTAAATCACAGTTTTAATTCCAGCAAAGAGGAGCATTCTTTAAAATGGTCATCATCCTTACGAAGGACGCAGGGGAGTTTTACATGTTGAACACATGTGTAAGAAGGAACAAAAACCTGGCAACAGATTCTTCTTCCTCCTTTCTTAGCCTCTTTACCACTCGATTAAATACCGTTGACAGGATAACTTTGAAGAAACAGAGTGACTTGCATAATATCAAATGTTATCGGAACAACAAATCACGCCACTCCAGATGGTGTGTTTATTTATCTTTTTTTCAGGATCGGATCTCAGAGGAAATGCCCAAACTGCTCTAAAGTTTGCAGCTGCCAGAATTAGAGGGTGCAACATTCTTCATTCGGCGGCAACAGCTCAGTTTTCCAGTCGGACACCTGACTGGTTTGTGAAGATCCTCCAGCTTCAAATATTTGAGGAAAATTAGTGCAAGCAGGATTAACGAAAATAGTTAGTGTGGGATGGCGGGGTTTGGAAGGTTTTTTGGTGGTAACAGGATATATTGTACTGGCCGCAACTCATAAGCTGTATTGGCTTAACGGAGCTGTGTTTCTTGCCTTACATATCTACTTCCACTTTTCACAAACAGTACGACCTACAAGAACTCAGTTTACTCAAAATGATATTTC